CGTGAGTGATGAGCTAATGTCTGTGAGCCCTATGAAGCTGTGGTTCCCATGGCAAGGTTATATACACAGGATTAGATGCACAGCATAGGAAGACCATCATGGCATCGCTGGGAGTCAGATTAGCGAGCAAGGTTAGGTTGGAAAGAGTTCAGTTAGAAGGCTTTGGAAGAAAATTAAGAAAGAGATGGTGAGGGCCTAACTAGAATGTGGGTGGAAAGAATGAGAGTGACATAACTAGACTGAATCCCATATACCTGCCCTGGGAAACTGCATTACCATGCTCACGAAGAGAGAGTGAAGACGTGCGGAAAAGCAAAGATTTAGGGGGAACATGTAGTGCTGAGACACTACATGTAGGGGGATATCTTTAGTAAGCGGTTGAATGCACAAGCCTGCAACAAGGTTGTTACGTAAACAGGCTCCTGGAAGGACCCAGTGAGGACTGAAAGGAGCCTAATTCCAGTGCGTGGCATTCTTTCCACCGTGAGGCTGATCTGCTCCCACGGAGGGCTATCTTTTTCTATTTCGTATTTCAAGAGTTGAAGGCTTTTTAAAAATTCTCACAAAGAGAATTAGGCAATATGGTGGACCTACTCAGAGAGGTAGCTTTGGAATTGTAGTTGTGAGAATAGCTTTTAGAGTAGTCCTTTGTTCAAATCTGACCCTCTTTTTTACCCAAAAACAGGAAACATTATTTAAACTCTTTGAGAGTTATGCTGTTTATTTTAAAAATAGAAACTTTTAAATTTTATTTTTTTCACTAAAATTTTTTAATTTTTTTTTATTGTTCAAAATATTATTGATGTCTCCTTTTTTCTCCAGTGACTCCTCCCCCCCACACCCTCCTGGCCTTCACCACACTATTGTCTGTGTCCATAGGTTATGCATACATTCCTATAAATTTTTTGGTTAATCCCTGCCCCCCACCCCACCCCCACTTTCCCTCTGACATTCATCAGTCTGTTCCATGCTTCCATGTCACTGAATCTATTTTGTTCATCAGTTTATTATACTAAAATTTTTTAATGTTGACATTATTGCAAATGTATAATAAGAATAACTGATTACCAGATCCACTGTCACATACAATAAGCTCTAAAATTGATAAGTAGCATCACCCACATGTTCTTTGGCTTCTTCAGCATCATGATAATCTTTCATGTCTAGTTCTTTCAGTCCAGTTTTGTCAGGGTGAGATAGGTTGAAAATGTGAGCAGCTGCACTGTGTCAGAACTTGCTGGTGTCTTCCAGCAAATAGCTTTGTTTTACTTGTTTCTTAGAATCTTGTTCTATCCCTTAAATGAATTTCCAGTGTCACACTGTAATATCCCCTATTTTTCTTTCATTCTCTAAGAAATTAGTCATAATATGTCAAATTCTGAGAAACATTTTGAAGAATTCCTTCTGTTCTTAGTTCTCTGCAGTACAGAGAGATTTTAGACTATAATGATGTGCTTAGTACATATATTTTGAGGGTGTCTTTTAAATTATTTATAAATTATGTTATTGCCCAAATAATTTGTCTAATAGGCCCAAACACATCTTTATATGTATGTCTACCTCACTTCATAACAAGCTCTTTTGCATTTCCAATAATATAACTTGATATTGCAGAATCACTAATAATAAACACATAAATTGGAATTTATTTAAACTCATGTTACTACAACATACATGTTCAAAATTATATTCAATATTATGGAAATGCCATACAATTTATATTACTAAAAATAGAATTATTACATTTGGCTCATATTTAAGTAAGCAAGGAATAAACTTCTTTATAGAACTGGTGATAAGATCAATAAGGGTAGGAACTGTCTTTGTGGTGGTGTTCGCCATTGAATTGGTAAATACAATTTCCAGTAACTTTTTAAGAGAACGGATGGATGAATGAATGAATAGCAGGACATACAAAGGATCTTGGAACTGCATGAGCCAAGTTTTCAAAACTAGTGCCATCATCTGACTTTTTAACTTTCTTGTATATGGATGATTTCTCAGATAATCAGATAAAAGATAGACATTGCATTGCAATTAATTGAGACTCTATAGATAATGGGTCAATCAATTAGTTTTCTATTGCTGGATAACAAATTATCAAAAACTTAGTGGTTAAAAACAACACCCATTTATTAGTTCACAATTCTACACATCAAAAGTCCAGCAGAGTGCGGCCGGATTCTCTCTGCAGGTTTCACAAAGCCTGTATTAAGGTTTTGGGCAAGCTGGGCTCATATCTGCAGGCTCTGGGGAGGAATCCTCTGCCAAGCACATTTAACTTGTTGGTAGATTTCAGCTCCTTGAAGTTCTAGGCCTGAAGTCCCCCTTTTCTTTCTGGCTATCAGCTGGGCATCCCTTTCATTTCCTAGACCCTGCTTTTAGGTCATTGTCTTGTGGCCCCCTCCATCTGGGCCACAAAGAATTTCCCTCACATCAAATCTCTCTCACGTTTCAGATCTCATTAACTTCCTTAACTGCAGCCAGCCAGAGAAAGCTCTGCCTGAAGGGGGTCATGTGATTGGGTTAGCCCTACACAGATAATCTCTCTATTTTAAGTTTAACTGAAAAATGACCTTAGTTACATCTGGAAAATCCTTTTTGCCATGTGATATAATATAATCAAGAAAGAAAACCTGGGGTAGAAATCATGGGAGCCATGTTAGAATTTTGTCTATTACAATCAAGGTTGTCAATATAACAAACATTGTTGCTATACATAATTTAATTTAGATGTAAAGATAACTAACATTAACCGACCAATGATTTTTCCAAGGATCTTTTTTATTTGCAAATATGTTCTCATAGTAATTATAACAGGTTGTTTCACAATTAGCTATGAATCCACACTTAGGTATAGCATATATTGACTTAAATATAAAATAGCTTTTTTGTATTATAATGGATTTTATGGATTTATGTTTAATGACTGCTATTTTTTTTTATGAAAATAGCTTTTTATTTTTTTGCCAGTAAAATTATGAACTTATATTCAGCTATAAAGATAAGCTCTAACCCAATATCTTTGACAATTAAAAAGAGATATACACATTCCATTTGTATAATACAACCTACTGGATCCATAGTTCTAAATATGAATATGTATTCACAAACTCACAGATAAACTGTGGCTTAAGTTATGTCGCAGGCTGGGTGCCTGGAACACATGGTTTTATTCTATATGGAATATGCAGAATAGTTTGTTCTCCAAGTACCCCGGCTCCTTGAGATGTATCTTATTAAGACCAGACAAGTGCTCAGATCGTATGTTACTTAATACAAAGGTGGTGGCAGGGTAAACAGTGTTGAAAAACAGCCCCTGATGCATGTTGTATTGAGTATGGGACTTTTTTTTGTTTGCTTGTTTATTTGAGAAAATATTGACTATGGACCTTCTGTAAGCCCCTATAGTCAACCTCTTGGATTAGGCTGTAGACTCAATTAAAGTAGGCAAAGGAACAAACTCCTATTTTTGTAACCTAGAAAATATAAAAGCAAAATACATTCTATTGTAAGCCACATACTTAAAGAAAAAACAAACTAGAAGGAAACATAAATTCATTATATTCGACAGCAGGACTAAATAGCTATTCCTTGGTTTAATTCATTACTATGTGAGCGTAATTTAAAAAAACACAGCACCTGCTGTAGAATCAGAGTGTGTTGAGTGGACTTCAACCTGTCTCTTAATTAATATATTTCAAAAAATGGAGTCCTATACATTGTCAGGAAATTTGAGAATTTTTTCCAAAAATTCTCAATTTTCCCCCCAAAATTCTCATTTTTCCCCCCAAAATTTTCAATTGTTTTCTCTTCCTTTTCTCTTTCCTTTTTTCTCAAATTTTGATATGAGAATTTATATACTTGGGAGATTTTTCAGACAATTAAAATTAGTTGCAGATGAGTGTTATTGAAGACTAAAGTAACCCAAGAGGCTTTGATTGTTCTTATAGACCTAGGAGAAAAATATATATTATCTGTACATATCATATTCCTGAGTATAGAAGAGCCTATGGGCTGGTAGCGTGGTACAGAGGAAGATCCGCGGCACAGGGAGTGCAGACTCAGTTCTGTGAATCAGCTTTGTGTGACTTTTGGCAAGTTACCTAAATATGATGAAGTATGATGGCGCTTGGACATTTACTTAAATGCTCAAGTACCTCAGACACGTGATTTGTTTAGAACATTATCAGGCTTCTTAATTAAGATAAACTTGTCTCATTTTGTGGAAGCACTGGACATCTAAGATTTAAATGTAACTTAAAATTTTCCATTATTTCAAAAACAGTCAATGATTTTGATCTGTTGCTATTAAATTACATGACAGCCCCACTGGAAGTTAGTATAAATTACTAAGGAACTTTTAAACAATCTAATATTATTTAAATTAATTACAGTATAAATATCAAAACACAAACAACAAATGTGATCCACAGGTAAGAAAGGAACAAATATACTTACGGTCTGAACTCTGAGAATCTGATAGTATATCCACAAATTTTTATTTGTGTTTAATTTTTTAAAAATATGTTTTTATTGATTTCCAAGAGAGGAAGGGAGAGAGAGAGAGAGAGAGAGAAACATCAATGATGAGAGAGTGATTGATTGGCTGCCCCCTGCACGCCCCCGACTGGGGATCGAGCCCGCAACCCGGGCCTGTGCCCTGACCGGGAATGGAACGTGACCTCCTGGCCCATGGGGCAATGCTCGAGCACTGAGCCACACCAGCAGGGCTGTGTCTAATTTTTTAATGTCAAAGTTTTGTTGTGCGTTTTTTTTTTTAAGTCTTATTACCTTGATATTAAAGACATTAGATGCTTTAAATTCAAGTTATGCAGTATTCAGTAGACAAATACTGGACCAAGTTAACAACCAAAACCTGCACTTCAGTATCTACTTAGGCTTTTACCCCAAGGAGTGGAAGTCCCCATTGAAAAGAAAGGAGTTTTATGTTAAATTTATTTGTTTATTTTACTTCTCTTTCCAGGCAGCAGAGGAATTTGTTCACGCGATGGTTTCCTGCTCCACTGAGGCTCGTTAACAGTCCACCTGATTCTTCTTAGCTCTTAGAGGTGACCTGATCGCTGCCTTCATAACAGGAACATGAGAGGCCAAGTGTCCAGCTCTTTGGCTGTCTTTTGGCAGATAATGTAGGTAAGAAAAAACACAACACAATATCAACAAAACTTCAAGAAATAAAGATGGTTCACTTTGCATTTGATTCGTTACGTCGTTACCAAAATCGCCCTGACTTTTTCAAAAGTGTATTCACAATATCCAGTAAGATGCAATAGTAAAACAGTTCAATTAATACAACTTTACAAAGGATAAACTTCATTTATTTAGATGTGATTTAAAAAATTCCAAAGAAAATAATTACGTTATCCTTAATAGCTTTAATGTCTGAATTCACTGGGTATGTTAAAATATGTTTACTCACATTTGATTGCTAGTAATTGTTCTAGCCATAATGTATATGGACAAAAGATCAATAAGCAATTAAAAAGCATTATCCATATATTATTTTAATATAAATTATCTAAATTAAAAATAGATTACCGTACTTTATTTAATTGAATATAATTACATACAATAATTGCTTTTTACAAAGTCTGCAGGCTATAAAAATATGCTCAGGTAGGAAACACAAAAAGTGAATTTTGTAATTTGGCATATAATCAAGAATGAACTAATTATATAATTCCACTTGTAAAATACACAATTCCTCATATACTCATTACAAGAATAATCATTGTTGAGCGCTGGGAAATAAAAAAGATATATTAACTCATTAGATTAATTGCTTCTTCCTATCCCTTAGTAATACAGTGGAGTAAGGGAAGCTCCTGATCCAAAGTATTTTTAAATATATTCGCACTTTAAATGGAATCACTTCAAAAGTTTATCTCAGCAACAAAACACTGACAAATAAAATGTACAACTTCAACTTACAGGCACCATGAAATATTAGGACTGAATTTACTGGGTTGCCTGAAAGAATGCATGAGGCTTATGAACCGAAGTTCTCAAGACGCCGTCTGTCAGGTAACAAAAGACAGTGTTTCCTGAGGGATGAGGGATGGTAAACAAATGAGGTGAGTTTTATCGTTACCCAACTGAATCATAAGTAACTGAGGTAAGCCCTGGGTTTCCCCAGCTAGCTGCCATGAGAGATTTTTCAGGCTGAGGCAAAGGGGGGAACCCAGGCAAATCCAGGCGAACTCCTTAAGGTGATGAACCAGAGCCCAGAGCCTGGGAAGGGCCAGCCAACTAGAGTTTGTTCAGCAAACAGAGGAGAAAGCATGTAAAGTGGTCAAGTTCCAGAGACTTCAGAGGCCTCCTCGGGTGTTTAGCTACAAACTGATTAACACATTTATTAAATGAAACTACCCAAGGTTGTGGAAAGAACAACCAAAAAGAAATAGAAGTAACATTTCTAGGAGATGCAGAACCTGGAATAGTTCCTATTCCCAACAGTTACTGATTCACAGGCACCGGGAAGAGTGTAAAGAAGTGTCTTGCCTCAGTAGGGCGCATACTTAGCCCATCACAGAGAACAATGCCAGTTTTGCCTTAAACATTTTGGAAGCACGATTCTAAAGGAAAACTGGCATAACTGTATTCAAAAACAAAGACTGTGAATATCTATAGGAATTCAAAAATATTCAGCAACCAATAAGGTAAATTCCCAGTGACTAGCATCCTATTAAAAATTACTAGACTGCAAGTAAAGAAGTAAACCCATGAAAGGAAAACATTAGTCAATCAAAATTAACACATAACTGACACAGATGATAGTCACATGAAAACCCTTATTATAACTGCATTTCATGGTCAAGACAGACCATATTCTGTGCCCTAAAACAAACTTCTATAAAATGAAAAAGATTTAAGCTCATAGAAACGGTCCTACCATTAAATAGTGGCACTAAATTATGAATCAATAACTGAAAGACCTCTGGAAGATCTCCCAAATTTGGTAATTAAATAACACAACTTAAATAACTCATTTACTAAAAAGACCAAAGAATAAATTAGAAAATATGTTTGCATGTAATGAAAATGAAAACATGGCATATTAAAATGTGTGTGATGCTACTAACATGATACTTTGGAGGCAAATTTTAGTGCTAAATGTCAATACTAGGAAAGAAGGGTCTTAAATCAATAACCTTAGATTCCACCACCAAGGAACCAAAGAAAGATGAGCAAGTTAAAACCAAAATAAGTAAGAGAAAGTCAGTAATGAAGATCAAAGTGGAAATCGATTACATGTAAAACAAAAAGAGGAGAGAAAATCAGTGTCACCAAATGGAGATTATTTGAGAAGATACATAAAATTGATAAACCTCTACCTAGTTTGATCAGGAAAACAGATATGACACACTTAACTAATATCAGGAATGAGCATGGTGATACCACTAGAAAATATACTGACATCATCAGGCTAGTAGGGGAATATTATAAAAATTTTATCCCAATACATTTAAAACACAAAATTTGTAAATGCCTCAAAAGATACAAACTACCAAGCTCACTTAAAAAGAAACAAGTAAACCGAGTACACTATGTCTACTAAAGATATTGAATTTGTTCAAACAAACTCTTGATATTGATTGCCTTATTAATAAAATCTATCAAATATTTAAAGAAGAAGCAATACCAATTCTAGAAAACCTTATGGGAAACTTAAAAGTGGATACTTTCCAACTAATTTTATGAGCCTAGCATTACCCTAATGCTAAAAGCAGACAAAGACATTACAAGTGAGAGATGTTTATACCAATACACCATTGTAACATTAAAAGACCAAAACAAATTGTTAGTTATTCATGTGCAACAGTACATAAAAGAAATGATGCATCATATTCAAGTGGAATCTATCCAATGAATGCAAGGTTGGTTAAGCAATTAAGTGAAAATCAATGTTATTCACTATATCAACAAACAAAATCACCTCATCATCTCAATCAACTCCAAAAGCTAATTAAATAAAATCCAGAGTCCATTATTGATAAAAACAAAAACAAAAAGACTCTCATCAAAATAAAGAATAGAATGGAACTGCTTCAAATTGATAATGGACCAAAAAATAGCTACAACTAATACATTTAATGAATGGTAAAAGATTGAATGATCCCCCCCCCCCC